AAAGAACAGTCTCGTCTGTTACAATAAGAAAATTAGGGAGGTGACAGAGATGTAAAGCTAAAGGTTTGCAAGATTGCTTTTGTTTGGCCCAATGTTTTGAAGGTTTTAGGATTGATAGTGGAGAACCTGGTGTTTGAACTTTGTTATTTATCAGGTGGTCTGGCAGGAGCCATACAGGAGAAAGCAGCTCACCCATGGCAAGTCCCGTCCCAAGTAAGCTATCAGCTTCTTAGTTTTGTTTTCTTTCCAGTCTTTTCTTATTCCTGTTTTAGTAAATGTAACACCGGCATCAAGTCCCTTCCTGGGATGAAAATCCATGAGTTCATCAGCCAAGATGGAGCTTCAGCTTTGGCCTGATTTGGTTTCTGGCTTGGGAAAAGTGAATGGTTGGATGATCTTGGTGGTTCTGATCACATTTCTTTTGATTATTGACCTTGTGAAAAAGAGACGACCCAGGAATTTCCCTCCAGGGCCACAGCTCTTTCCTCTCGTGGGAACCTTAGTGGACTTAACGCAGCCCCTCCACCTCGCCCTGCAAAAGGTAAGAGCTCCGTGGACATTTCCCCTGCTAACACTATTTTACCTTTTCAATGGCTTTTGTCACCAAACATGTGAAGCGAAGGCAGCTTCTGAAGAACTAGCTATGTAGTAACCACGTATGATAGACAACCCTTCTTGGTTTTATCTCATACTATCACCTCCTCACCCAGGAGAGTAGGAAGGTCCAATGGGAAAGAAATCCATCATGGAGGAAGACCTGTACCTCCTCTTCTCGCCTGACCATGACCATTTTCTGCTGGAGCCTAGGAAGGGTTCGGAGGGGCTGTGCCAGGCTGAGGGATGGATGATAAGTGCTGCATGAGAAATGAATTCTTTGCACTGTGAAGACCACCTGTGGAAATTATCTTGTCATTACCTTTGCTCTGAGGCTAGCGTGATTGCTCCAGAAAGGCTTCTGAGAGCTTTGATGCCAACCAAAGGCAACAAAAGAGAGCTATTTTATACATGTTGAGTGTGCTTCCCCAAAAAAGTGGAAGGAAAAGTTCCAACTTGCAGATATCCTCTCTGGTGACTATTTAACTCTTGCTTTTACTTGGCAAGCTGACACCAGTCTGTCTACCCTGCGTTTTCACAAGGTTTGCCCTCGAGGAACCCTTGGGGAAAGCTGAGGCATTTGTGCACAGGCTACTTTCTCAATAGACACACTCATTATAAATAAAAATTAATAGCATTCATTTACATGCACACAGTGACCAAGATACATATTTGGCCCCAGATGGGTTTTATGAGTCACCACAGCATCACAGAGTGACCATGTGTATCCTTGCATGTAGACTCATACTGAGAGGATGGTCTGAGATCCTTGGCAGAGTGGGGCCTGGGAGACAATATGATCACCCCTTGCTCTTACACATCAGGTTGTTGAACAGTGCACAGGAGACACGAATGATAGCAAAGTCCATGCAAGAAAAGATGGCTATAATTTGGTCATAAATGCATTCAGGCTTAAAATTAGAAGTGGGTTTCTAGCCATCGGCAATTGGAGCCACATTCTAAATGAGCTGGCTGGAGGAAGAAACCAAACTGCTTTAGCCACAAAGTTGATGAAAAGGATTATTTGTTGTGCTTTGCCCTCAGCACCAAGAGCCTGAGCTGGTGACCCATGTGGCACCTTCCCTTCCTGTGAAGAAAAGGGCTGGAGCAGATGCCCATCAGTTACAAACCATGTAATGTCCTTGTTACAAGTTAAATTGAAGCAACTGCCTAGTGAAACCCAGGTCATACCTGCTAACAAATATAAGCAAACTATCTGGCTCACACTATATCTCTCCAGCATTTTTATGCCATCTGAGCTTTCCAGGGATATTTTAGATTGGATACAACACGTGGACTTGGGTTTGATGTTTTTTTAAGTTAGTCTTGCTCCAAGCAGGACTAAATTCAAAGTTAGATGCCACTGCTTGAGTTCTTGTTCAGATGAGTTTTGAAAACCTCCATCTTCTTGCTCTCAATGGGTAATGAACTCTCTTTCAGCTTACTGGTCAGTATGGGAACATCTTCAGTGTGCAGTTTGGAAGTCTGACTTTTGTGGTAGTCAACGGGTACCAGATGGTGAGAGAAGCTCTTGTCCACCAGGCTGAAATATTTGCAGATCGGCCAAATATTCCTCTCCTCCAAGAAATATTTAGAGGCTTTGGTAAGCACAGCTACGAGGAATTCGGGACAAGTTTTTCATCTATTTGCAACAGTAACAGTTAGAGTGAAAGAAACACGTTGAATTCAACCCTTGCTAACTACACTCATAAAAGCTTGCAGTGAGGAAGGCAAGTCTAAAAGTCTCACAGGTGTATGTTTTAATCTCTCTTGGATTTAGGGATGATGATGACATCAAAGTCAGGTCTTGATGAAAGCAGAGAAATTAATGCAAGCTGCCCAGCAATCGATACACTTGAAGAGTTTTCCCCTTGGTTTTACTTTCCTCTTTGCTTTTTCTCCAGGGGTTTCTCCAGAGATGGGCCATGGTGCTCCTGCCTGCAGCTCTACCAACAGTGTGATCATACTTATAGTATTTTGACTTATACCTTTTTTTTTTCCCACTCAAAGTGACAAAGTACCAGCTTAAAGCAAATCCATAAAGCTGGATCTTAAGCATAAGCCAATTACTCTTGAATTTTAATTCCCAGGACAAAGCTATAGGTTTTCCATGTCTTTGGGGTTTGTTTGGGGGTTTTGTTCAAGATGAATGGCCATTTCTGGATCCTGCCACTCATCTGTGACCCAGAATGAGGTTTGTTCCCTTGGGTTTTTCCTACCTACAGGACTCATATCATCAAATGGGCATATATGGAGGCAACAGAGGAAGTTTGTTTTAGCAACACTGAAAAGCTTTGCTGTGAGCTTTGAGGAAAAAGTGCAAGAGGAGAGCCGGTACCTTGTGGAGTCGATTGAGGAGGAGCAAGGTGGGTGATTAGGACACAGCACTGTGCCCAAAATGAACAACAAGAAGTAAAACTCTTATTCTGATGCAGCTCCTAGCATGCAAAACTTTTCTTCAGTAGCTCAAATCTCTATCTTGCACTTCTAGACTGTGCTTTTTAGAACTTATTTTAGACCTCAGGCCTACTATTTTAGTTCCTCCTTATTAATATTAACCAAATATATGCTAGGTGTTTATTGAAAATTGCTTGTTTGCACAACTAAGAAAGTCTCTCCTTTGTTCTGTGAAGGAATAAATGCAGCTCTCCTGCTATCAAGCACATATGCTCAGAGTTTCAGTTAACCTCTGCTTGTCCTTGGTTTTGCAAAGTATTTTAAAACTTGTTTAGTCAGGCTTTCCTTTTGTATCGTGCACAGATGAAGTGTGTGCCTTGCTCTTTTATGGTCCAGCTTTTAAGAACTGCCAGAGGGATATTAGTAAGAATAATTTGTATGTTGGTGCACGGGTGATGTTGCACTTCAGCTTTAAATAGAAGCAGATGGGGTTTAGCTAATTCTATGGAGCTATATATAGTAAACAAGAAAGATCTAAATAGCAATTGTGAAATTATATACTGAACTTGCTCCATTTTAACTGCTGTTGCACTGAACAGGCCAAATACTTCATGTTGCCAATTGATTGTAGTCCTTCAGAGTCCTAATCAATAAACTAATTAAGCTCCTGGTTTGGGCCTTTCTTCCCATTAGCAATGACAAATAGTGATCATGTCCATCACTCTAATATCTGAGCACCAGCCCAGTTTAATTACTAAGAGATCAGCAGTCCTGTGCAGAGTGCCTTGCATTTCAAAGTGATGCTCCCCAGCGTACGGACAGCAGCTCAGGCGGGGCTGGGCTGGATTCATTACCACTATGAGCCTCTCCTGTCATGGCAAGTAACCCTCCAGGCTGCCTAAATGGGCCCTAGGAGATGATGGTGTCTGCTTAATGGCTCTCCCAAGGAACGAAGATGTGGCAAACATCAAGCCACGCTTTGCTCTATAGGAGCTGATGTGCATCATGCCTATGGGCCATATGAGCTATTTCTGGATTTTACAGATGGGCACAGAAACTTGCAATCCTCTCCCTCTTCCCTCTTTCCTCTCTCTCACTTGGTTTCTCCATGGTGGGGTTTAAGGCTGGTGTAATGACATTTTTGCAGTGTGGTCAGTCCTGAAATCCCTGCCCTGGGCTAAGATTTGAGGGACCTTCTCCCAGTATTTAAAATTGGCACCAAAACGAGGCTGGAACACACAAACCTGAGAGACACAGTGTGTTATATTCCTGGTTGTTTTCCCTGGAAAACAGTTCAAACCCTGCTTGGGTAGCTCTGTGCTAACACTGGTGTGAGCCAGCAGCCTGGGCTGGAGGCAGGAGGGGTTGACTTTGGAGAAAGGGTGTCATGGCCCAAGATTTCCAGTCACCAGTGGGTGCTGGAGATGATGGGGGTGGTGGGATGCCCGAGACACAGGATGAAGCTTTAGCATCACCATGGGTGAAAAGGAGGTAAGCTCTCACCTCAGCTTCACTCTTGATCTGTCAGAGAATGTGCTTTTGACTGAGACTTTAAAGGAAAAAAAAAAATCTATCTTTCATTTTATTTCCTCCAGGACAACCATTTGACCCTCATTACAAAATTAATAACGCTGTTTCAAACATCATCTGTTCCATAACTTTTGGGAACCGGTTTGACTACCATGACAACCGTTTCCAGGAATTGCTGCACTCGCTGGCTGAAATGCTGCTGCTCATCGGAAGTTTCTGGGGCCAGGTAAAGCCACTTGGATGCTTTTCTAGCTCCAGCTGCATGTGAGTGCCCAGAAACCAGAGTCTCTAAGGCACTGACTTAACCTGTTTTTCCCTGTAGAAAAAAAAAACCCATCATGTTATAAAGGAAACGACCTGGAGTATAGATATATAAATATCTCTTTCTACTAAAAAAAAAGAGCCAATTTTCACTCTCCATGAAAATTCCCATCTTTCCCCCACCCCTTTCCCAACTAGCTTCTCAAATAACTTTTATTTACAGCAAAACCAACTGAGAGTGCAGGTTTATAACCCATTTAGTGGGATTTCAAGATATAGCTTCTGCATGGCCTTACACCAGGTCTGACCTGTGTGCCCTCCATCGACCCCAGCACTAATGGGCTTCTCTACATCCACATTGACTTCTGACTCCAGTGGCCACCTCACATTAGGTGACATTTTTGGCCACTCAGTATTAGAAAATTTTAAGAGCAGAAAGGATCTAGCTGATCCTTGTCTTGTTTGTACTTCTTTACATCTGTGTAACTAAATTGACCTTTCTAGCAAAAATGGCATTATTCTTCTGGTAGCAAGCAAAGCTAATGAATTGTACCATCATCTCAACTATGGTACCTCCTCTTTTTTAACTCAAGAAATGCTCTCTTGCTCTGTGTGATTTCTCACCAGCTGTATAATGCTTTTCCTTCGGTCATGAGATGGCTGCCAGGACCCTTTAGGAAAATCTTTAGGCACTGGGAGAAACTTCAATATTTTGTCAAAGAAGTAATCGCAAAGCACAAGGAGGATCTGGACCAATCTGTGGCAGAAGATTATATAGACTGTTACCTCAAGGAAATAGAAAAGGTAAGAAGGGAATCCATAAAGCCACCTACAGCTTAACCCATAAAATGAGCAGAAGAGACTCAAGGCTGTTTTGTCAGAGGAGCTCATGCCTGAGCATTGCCTTCTCCTCCCTACCTCTTCCACATCAAACTTTTTAGCAACAGCAGGAGCCTGATCACTTTGAAAACACACAGATTTTCTTTTTTTTTCTTTTTTTTTCTTTTTCATCTGAAAGTATTTACACTTTGCCTTCTTCCATTTTTCATTCTGTCACATGGCGTAGGAGGATTCTCAAGGAACGTGTTCACATTTCTAGGAGAACTCACAGGCCTGTGCTTGCTATTGTGAAACACCACATTTAAAAATTATACCTGCTTTCCAGAGTCACTCTACAGAAAACAGGGTGTCTTTCAAAGCAGTCTGTAGGGCTTGAAATACAGTGAAAGTAAGGGGGAGAAATTTCCAAGGCCAGGGGTGTTGGGTGATAAACTAACAGCAGGACATGAGTTAGGTCCAGGTGGTTTTGGATTGGGTTTTTGAAAGCCTGCCCTCCTTAATAAGAGTTTTCATTGCCATGTTTTTTCTCCAAGTTGAAGGGAGACACCAGCTCATATTTCCATGAGGAAAACCTGCTGTGCACCACCCTGGACCTCTTCTTAACCGGGACTGAGACAACGGCGACTGCCATCCGCTGGGCTCTGCTCTACATGGCTGCACACCCCCACATTCAGGGTAGGGCCACTGATGGGTCCTTCGTTTAGCCCAAAACTAGACAAGTGAAACTCGGAAAACAAGAGTTCTTTTCAGCTCTAACACGCTGGACATGCCTGAATGTTCTGAACACAGATTGATTTTTTTTTCCTTCCACAGAGGCAGTGCAGCTCGAGATCGACACGGTGATAGGGCAGTCCCGCCAGCCCAGGATGGCCGACAAGGAGAACATGCCATACACCAGTGCAGTGCTGAGCGAGGTCCTGCGGATGGGCAACATCGTGCCCCTGGGCGTGCCCCGGATGTCTACCACTGACACCACCCTAGCTGGCTTCCACCTGCCCAAAGTACGTGGAGACCACCAACCTTTCCCTCACCTCACCTCAGTGGGGTCTTCACGGCCCAAGTCCCAAATCTTTTGGACTGGGACTTGGAGGGGAAGCAACCAGCAGGATCTTATGGATATATCACATATATATTTTTTTTTTTCTTTTTATATATATATTCTATATATATTATT